TAACTTTCATGAGTTTGTAGACAGTTTACACATGAATGTAACATCTATAATTCAGCTGTACATTTCAGTATATTTGTACAGAAACCTCAGCTGGAATCAGTACAAATAATTCAATAAGTAATTTATAATTATATCACTAGTGCAACAATATAGTTTCAGTTTTTAAAAAAATAATATTGTTTAACTTAGATGGAAACAGTGAACGTGAACCTGGGACTTCCACTGAACTGCATCTTCCTAGTGAAGAACTACCACAAAGAAATCGAGACAGATGACGGTGTGGATTCACTGATACTGAGTATACTGAAAAAGATCATTGACTATGGAGAGGACTACCTGAATGACCAGAATAATCGTGACCTGTCACCAATGTGTGAGGGGGACAGAAAATGAAAATGTTCAGTTACTCTTCATGTGACTTTGCTTTGCTATTGCTGCAATCATAGTCATAGTAGTCATAGCAATCATAGTCACACAAAAAGTTACTTTCATCAGAAACTTTAACCTACTGAATTTTATCTTGTTCTTATTTTCTGTAACTTTTTTCTTTCTCAAATTAAATCCAAATAAACTTCAAGTTGTTTATCTTAAGAAAAATCAATAAATGTACTTTTTGTTATTTATTGAACAGTCAAAATGGTAACTGCAGCAAGGATGACAGATATATGCATGTAACCTGTTGATCAAAAGCTAAAAATGTTACGGTTCTGGGGTCGATTCGACCCAGCATTTTGAGTTTCTTATGTTTTACGTTTATTTTGCCATTATGGATTGGTTTTTGATACTCTTGTGCTTTGTTGATTATTATTGTGTGGATGCAGTAGGCATCCACACTATTGAGTTCCTGTTTCTTTATTGTGTGAATGCCTCACAGGCATCAGATATTGAACCCAGGCCGCCTTGAGACCAGGGCCTGGGCTCGAATCTGGCTCATGGAAACACAGTTCAACTTTGTTTCAACTCTTTTCAGTACAAATATCAGCATCTTTACCCATTTTCAGCAGAATTTTTGGCTTTTCACCTCTCTTCTCAGCAAAAAATTCTGCTTCTTCAACTGTTTTCACCTTAATTTTCAGTTTCTTCACCTCCTTCCACCACATAGTTGTGTGAATGTCTCACAGGCATTCACACTGTTGAGATCCTGTTTCTCTTTATTCTTTCTTTTTCTTTTTCTAGTTTCTTCCGTACATTTTTTGCAGCTTAACTAGTCCCTCAGTCCCTCACATGAGAATGTGGGCCCTACAGATCTAACCTTTAACTACAATTTTTGTGTGAAGGAAACCATGTTTACAGGCTATGTGTTTGTGATGCAATTAAACCGTGCTGTTGGGAAAATGTTGAATATTACTGTGAGCCTGTGTATTCAATGTGAAACACATGCTGTGTTA